GAAAGGGGAAAAAATATCTGTTCCAAGTGCTGTAAAAATATTGCCATATTATCTAATAGTGTCTAGTTAAGGCAAATCTTGTGAAGTGTTACCCAGCATTGCTGAGGGGGAAACCGTGTCAAGAGACTGATTACAACCTGGATACCTGACTTAGACTCTGATGCACGGCACAGTGGGTCATGCTGCTTGGTCATCTACTCATTTAACAAGTCACAGGGAGTTCAGCTATGCTGAAATACTGTTTTTCTTCATATGATTTATATTGATGAATGCTTTGTGTTAATCTCCTGAAATGCAAGGTTATGATTTTCCATGTCTGGTAAAGAAATTTAGATTTTTTTTTTAAGATCATTTTGTAGGAGCTGTAACACAAAACTTCTGGTTTTTCTTTTGAGAAGCAGAAAGTAAAAATAGTTTGATAGAGAAGTAATGGAAAAGAAGGGTCAGCTGTGGGAGGTTTTTGACAGTTGGCCGGAAATCAGTCATATCTTGGCACGCAAAAAATAACTGATGTCTGGGTAGCATCCAGTGGCTGCCTATTTTTGAGAGCCTTTGGGACTGCTTGTTTTGGCCCATCAGTTGTGTTGCTGAAGTGCAGCATCTTACTTAGCCTTATTTGTGGTGCCATCAACTGTTCTTTAACCTTCAGCTCCAGTGAATGTAATTCATTATTTAATGCTGTGTTTTAGGTGATAGTCTGAAGATGTTTCATCTTTAATGGAAGTGTTCATTCTTATTTGGAAAAAAGAATTATACTGTTTGCATATAGCATATGCAGTGGGAAATAGGCTACTGGTGAAAAAATCTTTTTAGAAATCTGAGAGGTGCCAGGCATATTGAATTTAGTTATTTTGAAGGAAAACAGACCCATATGTTGCTTGTGACAACTATTCTTTGTATTGTTAAATGACTCTTCTTACTTTTATTTTATGAAATGTATTTTTTTTATGAAAAATTAGTTTTGAAATTACAAAAAATGGCGTTGTGTGTGGTCTTCCTTGTAAGGAGAATTTCCAGCTTGGAGTTTGAATACTAGCAGATAAAACAAAATCTGCTGCACATTTAAAGGGATCTGATGGAACAAGTTCTCTGCTGAAATCAATGATTTCTGCTTCATTAGCTTCATTCATTTACAGTACAAGAGCACTTTCACCTACCTTTCTAATTGTTAGCAAAAAGCCTTTTGGTTATGTTTTATCGTTTGACAAATCACAACAATATTGCAATTGGCAGGCTGTAGATTCAGTTTCTAATGAAAAGTATCCCTCCAGTGATACAGCTAGCTATGAACAACCATTTTCTTTTTGTGTGTGTTTTTTTTTTTTTTAATGCAGCATTAGGGAGGGCGGTTATTTTACGTCCATTAATAAACAGCCATCTGACTGCACCAAAAGTATTTGTATTGTGTAATCAGTATTTCAAAATGTTGTATTATGGATGATAGTAACTCGAAACAGGACGGATTTTTCTCTGTCTATCAAGACAGCATGTTTTAATCAGTTTTTGCCTTTTTAAAATAAAATCTATACATCTGTAAAAGAGAAATGAAAAAATATTCCAAATCTCAAATTAGTGAAGAATTCATGTGTAATAAATGTTTTTGATTTAAGAAAATGATATGCTTTGGCTCAGGTTAAAATTCATAAAGTACTATGGAACTGTGGATTTTGCTAATAGATACAGCAGGAGTTAGAAGCCTTAGAAAAAGGCCTCACCAAGCAAAGATGCTTTTTTTGGATTGTTCTTCTGCCACCACTACACAGACATCACTGGAGAACTGTAGGAATCTGAAGGCTCTGGTTAGCTTCTGAATAGCTTCACGGGGAGAGGTTTCAGGAAAGACTTGACTTCATGATTATTCCTAATCTACCTTTTACATTTCCAAGTGTGAGAATGAGGTCTCTCAGGAAATATGACTTTTAGCCTAAGCCATCATGGAATTTTTTTTTTTATTCATTTTTTAACTAGCAACTAAAAATATCTTTTTTCTTAGGAATACACTTAGTGTTTTTACAGAATGGATAAATTATCTGGAAAAAAAAAAACATCGGGAAGCCTGAGATCGAGGATTTTGAAAGGGATGGGAGTATGACGTACTAGTTCAATTTGTACTCTGACCTGAGTATTAGGATGGCTAAAAATTCTCCGTTCCCTCTCCTTTCCCTCTAAGCATTCTAAATGGTAAGAAAGTGAGAGAGTAGGTCTGCAACTTTCAAGACTACTGCAAGGATTTCAGAGTAAGCATCTCTTAATGAGAACCATGGGGTTAATTTCAAGGTATAGACAAAACCATCCCATGCAGTGAGAATGAGGTGAGAAGAACTGAGGAGAAAAGGTGGGTAGTGAGTTTTTTTTAAAGGAAATGTCAGATTTATCAATTAACACTTTATTGTCCTTTTTACCACAAAAAGTAATTTTAAAGATACTGTTTCCCAAATACCTTTTTTTCTAGCTTTGGTTAGTTTTGTCTGCAAATAGCTTTTGTTCTCTAAATTTTTACTTTTTCCCTATGCTTTGGAGTTTGCCTAAATGAATGGGTTGCTTTTGCTTGGGTTCCTACCAGTTCCCATGTTAGTTCTCGATTAGTTGATACGTGGTAGTAATCAGCTTATCTCATCTACTTTCTTTCACAACCCTGCCAGCTTTAACTGATGGCCTGCAGTTCACAGCATAGCCTCAGGCTTTGCTCTCAGAGTGTGCAGTCCACTTCTACAGTTGGTAGACATAAACTTTGCTCACCCTGTGAAGCAGATGAGAGGGAATATATTTGGGGAATTCATAATTAGAAATATTTCAACAAGCAGAAAACATCCAACATGTTAGCTGTCATTTTTGGATACAGCCTGAATCTTTGTGGAAGTACTAGTTATGCCTAATATGTTTTGTTAATGGTTGTGTAGCTGTCAAATAAATTCCATTATTTCTTATTACATCATTAGAGACCATTAAAAGGATATTAGCATGCTGATGTAATTATGCAAGCAGACGTAAAATGACTATAGTTATGATTTTATAATCTAATTATGGGTGTCCAATGCCTCTAGTGATTGATTGTTGGACTAGTATCAAGGATTGAAGTCAGATGGGTAGTAGTGCTAGGACTGTTTGCATTTATTACCAAAAAAAAAAACCACTCTGCAATCTGCAACATTGACCTTCTTCATGTACTTACAGTTTTTGCCCATTATGAGTAAACTTAGAGACATGAGAGGTTATCAAGAAACGTCCAAATGTAATAAAAATGCTAAGAACTGTTAGCTGAACTGAGAGGGTAGTGGGAAGGACATTTGGAATCTATGGTCAAAGCCGTTGGTTAAAACAGACATGACTTTTTTGAATTTTTACTGCTACATAATTATTTCTGTATTTTTATGTAATGGTGTCATATTTGGAATATTTACTAACAAAATTGCTAAAGGATTTTTCACCTTTAAGCTTAGCTGTATACCTTTACATGGAAAGAAATAAAATTATTCTGATGTCATAGTATTTTAGATAGTATACCCTATCATTCTCAGGTACCAGTTATGAGTGAAATTCTCTGGTGAGTTACATTCTCTGATGGATACTGCATCTCCCTGTGAAATCAGTGACAACGCTAATTTTTCTCTTTTCCTATTTGTTTATTTTTTTTCACCTTATGATGTTTTTCCCTATTGCCATCGAGGAGTTCTTGCTCTATGTGGCTCTTTTCTCCCAGTTTGTTCTATTGCTTTGGCTTCCTTTATCTGTTCATCTTAATGGGCATGCTGGTCATTTTTACCTCCTGTTGTACCTATGCTCAGTATTCAGAGACCAGTACTTCGAGGAGAGGTGATAATTTGACCAAGTGTGCCCTTTGCCATATTTAATTTTGCACTGGAAAACGTGCAGTAGAACACCCTATATTCATTTCATAAAACAACGTTAATACCTACCTACTACTGTTGTTTCAGAGTGTAACAAAATAAAAAGATATTATATGTGTGTATATATATATGGATATGTGTGCATGTATTCATGCGCGTGTGCACTACATGAGCAGACAGTGAGATGGATTGAAAACTGGATGAACAACAGAGCTCAGTGGGTTGTGACCAGTGGCGCAAAGTCTAGTTGGAGGCCAGTAACTAGTGGAGTACCCCAGGGGTCAATAGTGGGTCCAATCCTGTTCAACATATTCATCAGTGACCTGGATGAAGGGACAAAGTGCACCCTCAGCAAATTTGCTGATGATACAAAACTGGGAGGAGTGGCGGTGACACCTGAGGGCTGTGCTGCCATTCAGAGGGACCTTGACAGGCTGGAGAGATGGGCAGAGAGGACCCTCATGAAGGTGCAGGGTCCTGCACCTGGGGAGGAATAACCCCATACAGGCTGGGGACCGACCGACCCGCTGGAAGGCAGCTCTGCGGAGAAGGACCTGGGAGTCCTGGTGGACAACAAGTTGACCGTGAGTCAGCAATGTGCCCCTGGGGCCAAGAAGGCCAACGGTATCCTGGGCTGCGTTAGGAAGAACATTGCCAGCGCAGGTCGAGGGAGGCGATCCTTCCCCTCTGCTCAGCCCCGGTGAGGCCACACCTGGAGCGCTGTGTCCAGTTCCGGGCTCCCCAGAACAGGAGAGACATGGAGCTGCTGGAGAGAGTCCAGCAAAGGGCTACTAAGATGGTGAAGGGACTGGAGCGTCTCTCACCTATGAGGAAAGGCTGAGAGAGCTGGGCCTCTTCAGCCTGGAGAAGAGAAGACCGAGGGGGGGATCTTTCCGTGTGCATAA